TTTGGAATTTTCTCCGTAACCATTAGGCGCATAATAACGCTTCAATATACTAAATTATTTGTTTTTTTAAGCTCTACAAAATGGTTTGAAAAGAAATTGCTAAATTTTATGTTTTTGGGTAAAAAATAGGAAAAACCTATTTTTACCCCATAAAACCCCCCGTAAACCCCCGTTCCCATGGTCAGATCATGCTGGATTGCGAACTCGTTCGAATAAACGTAGGTTTACACGTTTGTACCAAATTTCATCAAAATCGGATCATTTTTGCTCGAGTTATCGTGCTAACGGACACATATATATATATATAAAAATATAAATATATATATATATATATATATATGAATTTGAACGGATGGTGTTTTTGGCCTCTAGGGACCTCAAAACGAAAAAAAAAATCGGTCCCGCGTCCAGGTCTTACCATGAGTACTACGGTAATAGCTTATTCCCTATATGGGAAATTCGCTAAAACACAAAATAATAAAGATTAAGTCTGAAAAGCACATTTATCAGTCGAGTATTTTGATTTTATAGTTAATAAAAACAATTTTTGAAAATAACAAGAAAATTTTTTTTATGCCTACCCGGACAGGTCTCGAACCGTATAACTTCAACTTGTGAACCTCTTACCTTACCTCTGAGCTATCTGTGATTGTTGATATTACTAGTTTTCAAGCGGTTAAGGGGAGTCGCTACTGAAACTAGTGATTTTTAATAAAATCCTTTTAAAAATTATCATATATACTTTTTTAAGTTCATTTAGTCTTAGAAAAAGATTTACTGCCGTTAAAGTAAAAAAAAAACATTTTTACATACTTTTTGGAGTTTTTTAAGTTTTTTGGCGGGAAAAAATGGGGTTTTTTAAATCTCTTATAACTATTTAACTACTGAACCAATTTTATTGTTCGATATCTTATTTTAAAGAGCAAGGAAAGCACATACTTTCTGTGCATACTCATGTTATTTTCTCAATTAGTTTATAAGTTATGGCTTCAAAAATAAGTTTTTGAAAAATTTATAGGTTATAAATTTTTATTAATTTTTTTTCATGTACTTTTATTTACCCAATTACAATATCCATGCACAGAAAGTTGATTTATAGTATAAACAATGTGTGGTAAAAATTTCATTCATATAGCTGCAATAGTTAAAAAGTTATAAGAACTTATATATAAAAAAAAACAAAATTTTAAAGTCGCGGAAAACAGCGGTTGAAGTTTATACGTTGGTTTATACTAGGCCTAGTTGATGCACCAAAAGAGGTGTGCGCCTTTCACTTCAAATATTTTTTTCACAGTGAAAAAAATATATATTATACCAAATGTTATGTTTTTCTGAAACCTTACAATCCATAGAACAAGATAAAAAAATAATAAAAAAAATCAAGTTTTTTACAAAATTGGTAGTTTTTCAGTAGCGACTCCCCTTAAATAGGAGCCAACAGCTGCAATGGTCGCAATACTTGAATATTTTTGATACTATGATTCTGTTTAGGCATCAAATTGTTAAATTAATTGTTTTTCTGGGAGTTGGAGGGAATACTGATATCTGAATATAGATTAATTAATTACCATTAGTAAAGTTACTATAATTGAGTAATTGTAATTGAGTGAGTAGTCAACTAAAACTAAAGTCATCTCAATGTTTCCATTTCTAATCCAAGCAAAGTTTAAGCAGTTAAACATTTATTGTAAACAAAAAGCTGCCAAGATGAATTAAAACATGTAAACATTGTTATTTTTCTATTCTTTTCTCAAAAAGTAAAACAGAAAAATAATTTGCATAACATTTCCTTTGAAGACTGAGCCAAAGATTCAATTTGTATACATCAGTCATCAGTGGTTATAGAATCTTTATCCTATCCTATTAATTAATGGCAAAATCACAGAATAATAAACTAACCTGGTGGTTCTATAGAATAATTTTATATTCAACCAGCTGTTAGTTAACAAATTATATTGCACTAAAAAAAAAAACTAAAATTTGTAAAGACTGCAAAAAAATAAATTAGAACATTTAGCATTTTACCCTGTATATTTAAATAGTCTGTCATCCTCTTTCTCTTACCAAATAAATGAACGTTTTAATGAGTATAGCATTACACAGTATAAATAAGTCAACCATATGCAATGCATGTCATTATTATCCAAATGCTAAATTTGTGTCACACACGCTTAATGTTTACAGCTGTTACGTTAAGCAAATGGTATTATACCAAAAGCTAGTGTAAAATGTTAGCGTTGGCTGCTAGACTTTCAAAACTTTAAACTTATTATCTAAAAAACAGAAACGCTTCGACATTCCCTAGTTCCCAAAATTATCTTTCTTTAAACACAAAAATCATGACAATTCGTCAAGTAGTTGATTCAATCGCATTAAACAGTTAAACCACGTTCAATCTATAATATTAAAACGAAAGTGTGTTTTTTTATTTCACGATTTTGAATCAACCACTCGACGGATTTTCACGATTTTTGTGTTGAAAGAAAGATAATTTTGAAAACTAGGGAATGTCGAAGCCATAATTTTAGTTTAGGGTCCCAGTTTTTTATAAATTAAGTTTTAATTTTTAAAAAGTCTAGCAGCCGACGCTAAGATTCTAAACTAGCTTTTGGCATAAAATAATTTGCTTAACATAACAGCTGTAAACATTCAGCTTTTGTGTCACAAATTCAGCATTTGGATAAAAATGTAAAGACATACTTAGGGTTGACTTATTTATACTATGTGTAATGCTAATCATGGATACGTTCAATTCTTCTGTAAGAGGATACATAGTAAAATACTACGATGTTCAAATTATTTTTTAAAGCAATCTTTGTAATCATCGATTTGTTTTAGAGCAATATAATTTGTTTTAACTAACAGATGGTTAAATATAAACTATGGAACTATGAGGTTATTTTATTTACTCTTATTTTGTCATTGATTATAGGAAATAAGTAAGATTAGTAGAGATAATTACTAATTAGACATCAGTTTAAACCACAGTTTTGACAAAAATTAATTAAACCACAGTACAAATCGAGGCTCTGTACACAAGTAAAAAAGGATAAATGCAAATTATTTTACTGCTCCACTTTTCAAGGAAAGATTAGAAAAATAACAATGTTTACATGTCTTAATGGTAGCTTTTTGTTTACAATTAATGTTTGTCTGCTTTAACTTTGTTTGGATTAGGCCCGGAAATGTTGATGTCATAAAAAGAAGATCAAGAATAATCAGGAATCACGATTTTAAACTACCACCACAACCTCAGCCGGGTTTTATACAAAGATAAACAGATGGATGACATAGATTGAACACACCGTCAACATTAACCTAGGATACTGCAATTAGCCAAACAATTCTTTTATGAAATCGCGGTCAATTGTGGTTACGTTTAGGGGCGCCTATATCAGCGCCACCAAACGTGAAAATATCACTTTTATTTCAACTATGAATATATTGTAGTTTAAAATAACTAATATGGGAAATTACGATGTACATTTATTCAATGAGGGTAGGTAATTATCAAGGATAGAACTGATAACGGTATGGATAATAATAAACATTGAAAATTACGTCATTAGCTTTACTAGTGTGTTTACTTTTTATATTCCTGCTACATGTGACCAGTTCTTTTTTTCAAATGAATGTTATTTGAACCAAACAGCTGTTTCAAAACAAACTGTTATTGTTTTTACTGTTCTTTGTTTACACTTATTTATTTAGCTATTAATGCAATGAAATTATAAAGTGTGAATTGTATTGGATATTATCGTTTTATTTTAGGTCGTTTCTATTCTTATCTACTGGAAATTGAGTATAGTAGTTGTATTTTGGTGGTAATAATTATGGAAGAGGCAGGTATGCTATGGAAGGTGGTATCGTTGAATAGGTCTATACACTTCTCAATTGACTATTAGGCGGTCGACACACGGGAAGACTGAAACCCAACTAAAGTTGAACCAACTTTTTTGTGACGCGATTACGATTGCAGTTGCGTTGGTTATATCCGCACACGGGCGCGACTGTAGTTGAGTTGAGACAGTAAATGAGTTCTTATTTTGTTATAACGGTAGGCCTACTGTGTACTGTGTATGGCGTTTGAAATGAGTGGCAGGATTAAGAAGCCCTGGTGTTTTATAGACAATCAAGAACGTAGAAGGTATTGGGTGCATCCTTATGTTAAAACAAATATTAAATGTAGCCTCTTTGTAGCTGCCGATGCATTAAAACTATGAACAGGATGTCAAAGAGTACTTGATGTCAAAAAGTACTGAGTTATCGCAGTTGGTATGCCCGATCCTTGAAAAGTGCAATACAAATATGCGAAAAGTTGTTCAAACCAGGCGACTGAAATCACCTAGCAACCGGCAGGTCCGGTTGCTTAACGACTGATCGCCGACTGGTCCTCAACTGGTCGCATCGCAGTCGCACCGTGTGTACTGTCCCACCTAACTACATTGGTCGGGACGCTGGCGACTAGTTTGTCCAACTAGTTCCCGATTTCAGTTGGAAAACAGTCTTCCCGTGTGTCGACGGCCTTACTCTCTCTACTGTAGGCTACTTATAATCAGTGTGCGTCTGCAAATGTCACTTCAACGCTTTCCATATCGTAAAAATTGCAAAATTGCTGTTTCATTGTAAAATTATCGGATTTAAAATGCATATCGTATCTATGATGGAATAAAAACATATTTGGTCACACAACATTTGTTTACAAGATGATTTTTCACATTAAAACTGCAAAAAACTTTGTCTTATGTGTAAACTAGCCGATAAGAATTGTACACGGTTTTAACTTACTACTGAATTCCCGTACGTAGGACGGGCTAACACCTCGTTCTATTTAATTTTGTATTTTAAACAGATGATTACTAAAAATATGTTTGTACATATTACAATATACAAACTATTATTACAATAAATCAAGTTTTAGTGTTGTTAAATGTTCACCAAGTTAGTATAATTAACAGATATAATTATTTTGAACAATTCTGATCTTAATTTACTCTTAGATTTAAAGCAGAGCCAGAAGAAGCCAAGCATCGCACCATGTCGGACAGGTTGGATGACTATACTACCCCAGATCAACAGAACAAGTGAGTTCAAACATATAAAAATCATTCAACCAACCATCTAGATTCTTTTCGAGAAGTTGTTTAAAGTTCTGATTTGTATCACTGACAAGATTGAGGGGGAAAGTGTTTCAAGTTCTTGTACAGATTTGAGAATCTTTTCAAAAGAATTTTGGATGAGAAGGGTTGATTTGTTAAATTTTGAGAGTGAAATTGATCTGGTAGCCATGTTGGACAAAACAGAGGGAGTGAAACTTCACTAAGAATTAGATAAAGTTTGTGACTCTATGAGAGTGGGGAGAAACATAAAGAGATTAAATGATAAAATAAGGATATTTCGATAGCTTGAAAGTGGAATGGAATCCAAAGACTGAAATTCAAAATCCAGGCTCGATTAGGACCAATGAATTTATTTATTTATTTACATATCTTATTTTGATTTTTGTTTACTTTGAAAATGGCCTTAGAGCCGAAACTATAGTCAGTAAATATTTTAATAAATAATTTTACTTGGGTACTAAGTTTATTAAGGTTTAATCTTTATGTATATTAATATATAATATATTTAATTACATGTAGATATCTTTAGACATATTTCAACCACTTTGAACATTCAATGGATATCTTGTGCTGTTAGGGAGTAGCAAGCGGCAGAAATACTCGCAAAGGGAGGGGATAGTGCAAAGGCCTGAAAAAAACTAACTGGAAAGAAGATACGTGAGTGAATTTGTTACGATTTGCTTGATACAAAATAAACGGTCAAAGAAAACAAGATATTATTATGTGGGAAAAAATTGCACTAATCTTACACCTACTCTTTATGAAACTAACTTTAGTATTTTAAATTCAATGTTGTTAGTGCAGACCACAAATACCCAAAACTTATTTTTTACTTATATTTTTGCTTTTCAGCTCACCCGCCAAACCTAGCTGCTACACAGAGACCAGAGAAGGCGTTTGGGGGAGAGGAGACGGATTGCGATGGGGGTTGGGGGGGGAGAATAGACGGTTTGTGATGGGTAATTGGGGGGGAAGAGACGAATTGCGATGGTGCATGGAGGGGAGAAGAGTTGGATTTTACGGATTTGACAGAATGCGATCAATGAGAATGCGACGGTTTATCAACTACTCACCTGGTTTCTCGTACTCTTCTTCGAGGTAAGTCATTTTAAAGGGGTAGTTCTTCTTGTAGAAACTGGTTGTGAGGAGTCACATCAAAACACTCTAAAAAAGTCCTCCACAATCCCGTCATGTCTGGGGCCCTATTTTTGAAATGGTTGAGAGTTGAGTCAATCGTCAACACTCAACTCAAACGACAGGATTTGGTATTTTTGAAATTAAACAGTTGAGAAGTGAGTTGGTAGTCACTAGTTGAGTGACTCGTTTGGAAATAAAGTGGCAACACCGCACGAAATACAGATGTCATCATTTAGAGCCAATCACACTGCAGGTGATTAATCGTGCACTGGTCTACAACAGTTTAATCCCAACTGAAGCTGATGACATTGCAATCTCAAACTCTTCAAGAATTTCTTCTCTTCAGCCTTGAATGAACCAACGGGCTCATTTTATGTGACAACCTTTGGTCACCATTCGGTGACTTCTAAACTTTAAGTTTCAGCACACGAGAAGTTTTTGAGAAACTTGAAAAGTTTGCTCTCTATGTATTTCTTATGGGAGTTAAATTTGGTTTCTCTTTGCCGAGTTCGTTTAGCTCTTCTACCCAACCGATTCTCATGATTGAGGTCTCAAATTGAAGGTATGCACACACAGATTTGTCATCAAGCATCGGCATATAATTATCTATAGTCTCACTCGGTTTATAAGTAAACGAAATTTGCTTTCCATGTATTTCTTATAGGAGTTAATTATGGTTTCTCTTTGCCGAGTTCGTTTGGCTCTTCTACCCGACCGATTTTCATGATTGAGGTCTCAAATTGAAAGTATGCACGCACATATTTGCCATCAAGTATCGGCATATATTTATCTCTATTACCACTCGGCCTATACGTAAACAAAATTTGCTCCCCATGTATTTCTTATGGGGAGTTAATTTTAGTTTTTATTTTCTGAGTTCGTTTGGCTCCTCTACCCGACCGACTTTCATGATTGAGGTCTCGAATTGAAGTAATGCTCGTAAATATTTCACATCATCGGCATATACTTACCTACTGTATTACTCAACTAAAAACATAATTTGTATAATTTTTGAATTCTTACATCAATTTAAGATGTATTTCACCAGTTATAATTATATAATCCTATATATTTTGGTCTTTTATTGAAGCTTTTATTGAAGCGATTAAGATACTGTATTACTCAATGAAAAATCATAAATTTGATTATTTCTTGGATATTATATTTATTTTCTGCGGAGCATCATGGGTCCTCTAGTTTTAATTAAAACTACCTCATTCGGTGACTTCCAAACTTTAAGTTTCAGCCCAAGAAAAGTTTTTGAGAAACTGGAAAAGTTCGATGAAACTAAAGGATGATGGACACTATAAAACCCCTAATATATAGCCCCCGTTTGACGGTCCTCAGTTTATCGGGCTACTCCTTGGAAGCCAATATCCAAAATTATTTTCTACAGCTTACCCAGATACATTTTCATTTGTAACACGCTTGTTGCAAGTATAAAAGTAACCCCATCTCAGACTTTCTGAAAAGTTTCGCTGATTGTTTGAAGCAAGGTTGCAAGGAATACTTTGGGAACACTTGCAGGGAATGAATGCAGATGACTTGCAAAGACATCTTGCTGCAAACATGCACTGAATGTTTTTCTCAGGCTACCAAAGAATTCTTGTAAAACACGTGCAGGGAATTAATGCAGATGACTTGCAAAGATATCTTGCTGCAAATATGCACTGAATGTTTTTCTCAAGCTAAAGCTAGCAAAGAATGATTTTAAAACACTTGCAGGGAATGAATACAAATGACTTGCAAAGACATCTTGCTGCAAATATGCACTGCATGTTTTTCTCAAGTTAGCAAAGAATCATATTGAATTTTAGCCTCCTGTTGCATTTAAATACTATAAATTGGTGTAAAATACCTGCATTTATGCGATGTTGTTTGTAGCTGAGTTGCTACCGGTTTCAACTCACATTGGAGTCATCTTCAGGCAGTTAAGATGTCTTCTAGCTTCATTCGAAGGTCGTCAATAGAAATAAATAAACAAAACACAAACACGTACACGGACATAAAAAAGAACATTTAAGGCTATAAAATATTGAAAACGGTAGGCCTACGGGACACGACACGACGTGATCAGGTGAAAGTTATGTCTAGACTGCCGGTCAGGATCAACATGGTCAGTGATGACGTCGTGCCTGGATTTCCCGATCAGCTGATAGTTTCATTCATATCTGTCCCTAGCTCCAGTATCTCCCTTCCCATAGCATTTTAGGATTGTAGATACCTTAATCTAATCGTCATAAACAGTTCCCACACTCCGGACTACTCACCTTTACTACTTCCTTCACCCCTTCCTACGTCACGGACCTGTTTCCCTCCCTTCCCACAGCATTTTAGGATTGTAGATACCTTAATCTAATCGTCATACACAGTTCCCACACTCCGGACCGCTCACCTTTACTACTTCCCTCACCACTTCCTACGTCGCGGAACTGTTTTCCTCCCTTCCCATAGCATTTTAGGATTGCAGATACCTTAATCTAATCGTCATAAACAGTTCCCACACTCCGGACTACTCGCCTTTACTACTTCCTTCACCACTTCCTACGTCGCAGACCTCTGTTTCCCTCCCTTCCCATAGCATTTTAGGATTGTATATACTTTAATCTAATCGTCATAAACAGTTCCCACACTCCGGACCGCTCACCTTTTACTATTTCCTTTACCACTTCCTACGTCACAAACCTGTTTCCTTACCTTCCCATAGGATTTTAGAATTGCAGATACTTTAATCTAATCGTCATAAACAGTTCCCTCACTCAGGATAGCTCGCATTGACTACTTCCTTCACCACTTCCTACGTCGCGGACCTGTTTCCTTACCATCCCATAGCATTTTAGGATTGCAGATACCTTACCATCCTTATGAAACAGCTGAAGCCACTTTTATTGTTAGTTCTGTCTGGTTTTCTGTAGATGTCGTGTTTTGTTTACAATTTGTTTCTATTATTTTAGGGTTAGTTTCTCATTATTTGTGTCTCATATAGCCAACGAGGCCATTTGTAGTTATAGCCAACGATAGTAATATAGTAATATAGTACGGTAATATAATGAAAGAGTTATCGTTTATGATTAAATAGTATTATTTGGTTAAACAAGGTTTTAAATTACTGAAATAACAAGAAACAAATTGTAAACAAAGCACGACATCCACAGAAAACCAGACAGAACTAACAATAAAATTGGCTTCAGCTGTTCTATAAGAATGGGAAATCTACCTTAATCTAATCGTCATAACAGATCCCACGCTCCGCACTGCTAATTGTTAGCCTTTACTACAAGGTATCGAGTAAGCTTCAGTATAACCATTGCTCAATAGTAACAAAGTTATGTTTTTGCTTTTGTACTGTATTTTGTAATTTCTAGTATACTGTGGGTAGATGCCTTTATGAACACATTTGTTACAACTTACAAGTCTTTTGTTTACTTTTTCCTTGTTATTTAATTCAATCAACATGGTTACTTAGCAACCCATAAGACTAATGTTAAAAAAATGTGACTTTCAGTTTTATTTTTCTACGTAATTAGATTTTTGTTGGCAGTTCTAACAACAGTGCAGTAAACTCGTTTTTAGGCCAAAAATAAACTATTTACAACATTTGAAGAAAATCGTCGGAGCTGTTTTCGAGATCTTTCTGCAAGCAAGCATACATAAGTTACATACATACATACAAGCAAACATTGCTCGTATTAGAATATAGGATTTCTTTCAAATTAGTTATTTGAAACCATTATAACATTTGACTAGATGACTACAACAGTGTTATTACTGGTTATCATAGATGGCTATTAATGCTATTATGCTATTCTTATAGACAAAAATCAATAGAGGAGAGGCGAAGGTTTCCCCTGGAACAAAGACTTAAACAACACATTGTTGGGCAGGAAGGACCGATCCCTATTGTGGCAGCAGGTAACTCAAATTTTAATTCCTATTCAAATCAAAATTTACCCAAATTATTTGTTGATTATTTTTTTTGTAAAATTTGTTGACCCTCAACCCAAGACCGATAATCATAATAAAATAAAAAAAAAAAAACATTATCTTCTCTCTTAGGCTACAATTTGCAATTTATATTGTTATTTATTTATATTTTAATATATGTATTTAGCAGATACCCAAATGGCGGCATGAGAGTTTTTAATGCATGATGCTAGACTCAAAATCTGTTATAATTTATTGTATTTATTTGTTCTAACTGGCCGCACTACTTGAAAAGCGGCCATTCAATTTCCAAATACAATGCGTGTAATCAGTTTGTACTCAACGGAAATAAATTCATTTATTCAATTATTAATGGAAGCATGGCTGAAATCCATCTCACTTGTGCTCAAAGTGATGAGAAGATCTACTGACATTATTAAATGTACACTTACTGTTTCCAATTCCGATCCAACAATGTTAATGTGATCATGTTAAACCACATTGGTTAAAATAGCATGTAGGCCTACAGTAGTCGCATTTAGTCTGGGCGCACGGCCGCACTAGGGCCCGGGTTGTAGGGGGGAGTGTTTATTGCTCATTTCCAAAAACATCTGGCCCACACGGCTCTGGGGTTGTTCAACTGTCTTCATTGCTAGGCGAATTGTGGGGGGGGGGGGGTGAAATGTACAGGTATTTACTCAAGGGAGGTATAGAAGAGCCTTCGATGACGTCAGCTTTCAGATCTCTTCTCTTGAGGGAACACCATTACCACAACAATACGTTGTTGAGCCATCGGCCTCAGTGGTGTAGTGGAAGCGTTCCTGGCTGATAAACTGAAGGTAGCCGGTTCGATCCCCACCAATAGCAGTAACTTTTTGACAATGATTTAGCTTAGAATGTGATTGCTTCTTAACACTGTGAAGTGTTCGTGCTTTTGGTCTGTATAGAGTTCACATTATTTATTACCATATGTTACATACAAATAACAAGATTGTTTACTTTTTGTTGTCAGTTAGTTTTTACATGATTAAAGTCAAGTTTTGTTTTACTAAGTTGTACTTTTTAATTGTATAAGTGAATACACGTTATTGGCGACGAGGAATTAGAATTCACACAATGCCGACATCAGGTAGACATAGACGACATCAAGACGATCCAGGTACCGATCAAGTTCGTAATGAAAAAAGTATTTGTAATTTTAAATTTTTGTTTTGACATAGAATACATTTCTACTAAACTATTTGGGAAAGTTGACTGTTTAAGTCGTTTGCCTTTCGAGGAAGATGTCGAGTTTGACCAAGCCGATGAGAGTTAGAGCACCGTAGTTGGATTAATATTCTCAGGTAACATAGATTGTCTACCAGTTACGGCTAAAGAAATCAGTGAAGAAACGTCGAATGATGTTACTCTTAATCGGGTCAAAGAGTTTGTATTAAGTGGATGGCCAAACAAGACAAACAATCTGGAGTTAAAACCCTATGAGTCAAGGAAGAACGAAATATCCGTACATGAGGGCTGCCTAATGTGGGGGGTTAGAGCAATTATCCCAGAAAAGTTCAAGCAGAAATTACTTATGAACCTGCACGACACTCATTTAGGAATGGTAAAGATGAAGGCGTTCGCCCGAGATCGTTTTTGGTGGCCATCGATGGACAATGACATCGAAAATGTGGCAAGAACTTGTGCTCTATGCAACTTGTATGCTGCAAGAGAACCACAGAGAAAGTTCCTCAGTAATTGGCCGAGATGCACTGACCCTTGGACTCGTATACACTTGGACTTCGCTGGACCTTTCCTTAATAGTGTTTTTCTTTTGGTCGTAGATGCATACTCCGGTTGGCCAGAAATTATCAAGTTGAACTCTATGACTACTTCAGTAACAATCAAACAAATTAAGCTGTTAATATGCCGATATGGAATCCCTAAAACCATAGTGACAGACAACGGACCCTGTTTTACGTCCGTAGAATTTGCACAGTTTTGTAAAGCATTTGGAATCGACCACGTAACCACTCCACCTTACCATCCGTGTTCCAACGGACAAGTTGAAAAATACGTCGGTACCATGAAACAGGCGTTGAGAAAACTTTGCCAAGAACAATCCCCTAAAGGTTTGGAAGCTGACTTAAACAACTTTTTATTTAAGTACAGGTTAACACCACACATAACTTCTGGAATGTCACCTTCTGAGTTGTTTTTAGGACGTCAGCTAAGATGTATCTTAACCTAACCTAACCTAACCCCAAAAAGGAAGTCAGATTAAAACAGAAGAGGAAGAAAATAAAGAAGATAAAACAAAAGAGAAAGAGAATAAAGAAGGAGCCACTACTAGCCTAAAAAACTTCAAAATAAATGAATGAATGTGTTTTGGGCAGAAACCAGAAACGGAAATGTTGAGTGGAAACCGTAATCTTGAAGAGACTAGGGCGAAACGTGTGGAAAGTTGAAGGTAACGATAGAAGAATCTTTAAAAAACATGCTGACCAACTAAAGCATAAAAACCTTCTTGAAGACAAGGACAGTAGTTCAATCTTGGCGAGAAGGTGAAGTGTTCGTGCTTTTGGTCTGTATAGAGTTCACATTATTTATTACCATATGTTACATACAAATAACAAGATTGTTTACTTTTTGTTGTCAGTTAGTTTTTACATGATTAAAGTCAAGTTTCGTTTTACTAAGTTGTACTTTTTAATTGTATAAGTGAATACACGTTACACTGTAGTATCTTTTATTAGAATTTTGGGTTATTTATAATTTTATTTTATGAACAGAACTATTTTTTCGATTTGTAAACCTTCATTTGATTTTTACTTTCTCCCCCTATACCATAGTACGGTATATATGGAGAAAGTATTGTTTTTGTCAACATTTTTGAGTTTGAGTGGATATATTCGTTTTGGGTCCCCCTGGACCCAAAAAAGTTGTTTTCGAAGTGATATCTGTGTGTGTGTGTGTTGTGTGTGTGTGTGTGTGTGTGTGTGTGTGTGTGTGTGTGTGTGTCTGCGGGTCTGTGTGTCTGTGTGTCTGCTTTCGTGCTGCATAAGCTGTGGGGACATGAGTGTGAATGTGACCAGACTGTGTGGACCTGGTCGCTTATGTGGACATTACACACGTCCACACAATTTTCACAGGAAATACATTAACTGTGTGGACTTGGTGATGTCTGACTAGTGGCGCTCCTACAGACTTTTTGGTGAACAAGGAAAGCTGCTGGCGGCTACTAGCAATGGGACTTGAGTGTTTTTGGCTTTCCAATCTCCTGATATAGAATACTCCTTGTACAACATTTAATAATAAATTAATAACCCATCAACTATTTAAATAATTCTTACAGTTTGGTTAAACATAGAATAATTATCATTTATAATATATTTATTTATTTATATTAATAAAACTTTTTTAACTTTTTATTCCACCTAATATTTTTTTCATAGTTATTTATTTCACTTTGGTATTTGTTCTTGTGATTCCACTTAGCTCATATTTTCACTCCATCTTCTTTCATTTATTTATTTTTTCTATTTGATGAAATAGAATTAGATCAAAAGGTTAGTTTAATTTATTCAGTTTGTTTCACATTTATGTTTTTCTTCTCCATTAAATATTTGTGTACAATTTTTTTAGATACTTTGTTAGAATAAATATATAATTCATTCATTCATTCATAATAAATATAATGAGTGTGTGATATAATAAATAATTATCACATTTAAATGAAGTAAAAAAAAAAAAAAACAATTTGTAAGGTCCATTTGCAACAATATGCAAGTGAATACACAGTGCTGGCCAGACTTTACAGTTTTAACCAGTTTTATCACTTTTTCTTTTTTTTATAATTTGATTAACATGACTAGTTTTGACTATTGTGATTTTGCCAGTATTTTAAAGAATCTTTTGACATACCACAATGTTAATTCATTGGTTATGTGGTTGCATACAATGACCTGACGAAGTTCTAAGGAACGAAACTAGTCGTCATACCAGCAACTGTGGTTGGATGAAGTAGTCCTTTTATATTATTGATAAAACTTGTGTGTGTAATAGAAGCAAGTGAATTACTACAGCCACTATTTTACAACCATTAGAACAAATAACAGAAGCCATTGGATTCATCCTTTTTGTCGTGAACGTGATGCAGGTGAACGTTTTCGTACGTTTTACAAAACATCAGGAGACATGAGACAACGTTGTTTTATACTATCGTATGTCAGTCCAGTCATTCGATGAGCTTCTTCAGATCATGAGGCCTTGGATAACAAAAATAGACACACATTTTAGGATTGCTATTCTATGCTATCAGAATATTATTATGCCTGTTTGTCCCACAGTGATAGCTGGCCGTGAACATTTTCGATAAACTTATCAACATCAAACATTTCTAGTAGATTCTAAACAACCGCACAACGCAACAAGATAGTGTGCACAAACCCCCGAGACTGAACGAGTTTTCGGTCTTTGTGTGGTCGTACTAAGATGATTGATTAAATACACTAAGTTAGATTTCAGTTGTGACAAAATTAGTACAGTTTTTATCCCTGTCTTATTACATTCTTCCATTACAAGTCCCATCATTAATTAAATGGCCATCATTAATTATTAATTGTCTTTACTTTCTGGTTAATTGCGTCCTTAAGTACGGGGTTTGTGAGTGTAGATGCAAAGTTTGAGAACGCCTCACAGAAGAAACTTACACACGCTAAAATCTGGTGATCTAGGGGCCACGACATAAATATTGGGAAGGTGAAATAAACCATTCTAGAATAGAAATATGATAAATTTCATGAAAATTGAATCCTTATGGGCGATGAATCTTGTAAAATTAACATTTATAAGGTGTTTAATGTTTATCTAACGTTGTTGTCTCACCGTGACATAAAAAAGAGTTTAATCAACAATTATGAACCACAGCTTGACACAGCAGGGCCATCCGAAGGGGGGGGGGGGGGCAACCGGGGCAAGTTGACCCGGGCGCCGCAGCAAATTTTGTT